CTATTCGTGCAGAGATCGTGAGCTGCGGCCTGGCCTAAATTAATGGACGCTGAAGCTGACCAACCCGCTGACTGGTTGACTGCGGAGATCAGGGATCATTGCCTGTCGTCTATCCAATCAGAGCGACTGCTTGAATCCTGGAGAAGTAAGCTGGAGAGGTGTTCTGCCATTACACTTCTCACTGACCAACCACTGGACCACCATCTTCATTGCAGGATCGTTGAGTGACCTCAGGCCTTAATACCGCTGATCTATAGAGCTCTTTACCAACAACACTTTGGGCCCCAGCATAAACTAACCAAAGATAGTACCACTGGTCAATGGCCAGTTGGTTAGGTATCCGGGTATATTGGGACTAAATCTTGCATTCCAAGTTGACACACATTTAGTGGGAATGTTACAAAATAGTCTTTTGTTGATATACGTAACTACCACTATAATTGTGTCCGATACACAGTTGAGGTGCTATACTGTGTAAAGGCAGTGTGTTCGCATCTTTTGGTATATATTAGAGGTGCACCGAAATGGAAATGTAAAAACTGAAATTTAAAAAAAATGTCAGGCCGAAACTGAAACCGAAAATGTTTTTTATTTGAATTTTTTCAAAAAAGTTTTATATTTTATTTGTATTTATTTTTTATAAACTTTTTATTTTTTTTAGTGTTTGTACCTTGCTCTCCATCCTGACAGCTGTCACGGGAGGCTGAGCGAGCAGTGCAGGGAGGAGACCTCAGCCTCCTGTGACAGCGCGTGCTGCCTCCGTCCCACACACCGCTCTGCCGGACTGTGATAGGAGGCTGAGCGGTGTGGGAGGAGAGACGCCGGCCGCTCACAGCGCTCTCCTCCCGCAGCGCTCGGCCGGCTGTCACACTTTCTCTTCTCCCCGCTGGGACACAGAGCAGCGCCCAGTGATTGTTTAAACCTCCCAAAGTGTGCTGGTGTGCTGTGTATTGATTGATTGAGGTCCATTACAGAAGAAAGACAGGGAGATCCAGTATACTTTCAGATTAGGGGGTGCGCTACACTTATATATTTATATAATCTTTATTTTTAGCTTTGTTTGTTTGTTTCTTGCATAATAAGCTGTCTGTATCATTCTTTCCATAGTAAGAAATGAAACATTGTCAGATTTTCTAACTCGGCCTCCCTCTTCTAAAAATGTTTTTTTGTCTGCATCCCCATTGGAGAGATTTCCCATCTATTCCTAACAAAACACTAGAGAAAATGGGGCACACACAGCAGTAAAATCCCAATATAGGCTCCAACCCTTCCACATTCTATCCAAAACAAAATAAAAAGGTGTATCTGGAGGTGGGCATTAACAAAGTATATTTATCTCAAGTAATCTCTATCACTGTACATTACTTTGCCTTGTCATTCACAGGGAATGCTTTTTGCTTCATCTGAGTGTATTCGTTTCTCCAGTGATTTGGTCCACTTGTGGCTTCATGAGTCCTGCAGAGTCTATTCGGACAAGCTCATGGAAGAAAAAGACATTGAACATTTTAAAAAAGTGCTTATTGACACAGCAAAGAGATTCTTTGAGGTATGGCCTTTGCATAGAAACCTTGTACTGTCAAAAGACAATCTATGAATGCTCATTGAGGGAATTACATTTCAAAAACTCTTACAATATTCAGAAAATAAGACATTATCATTTTTATTATCATTACCAGGACCGTATTTCCCACAAGGCCAACCAAGGCCCGGCCTTGGGGCAGCACGGAGTAGAGGGGCAGCAGGCATGTGGAATTCCTATCTCCCGATTCCCGGGACTTGCAGTTCCAGGCGCCGGGTGTGCAGTTGTTTTCTACATTTAGCTCTGCTTTGGGCAAGCAGGACTAAATGTACAGCGGGGAAGTACAAGTACAAGTGATCTCGGCGATTTCACTGCTGCATACAAGATCACTTGTATGCAGCCTGCGGGTCTGCCATTCTCCGTGAGGGGGGTTTGGCGGGGAGGGGGGTGCATTGAGAAACCTGGCCTTGGGGCAGCACAGAGAGTAAATCCGGCCCTGATCATCACCACCCTCATCTTATATTATCTACATCAGCAAAAAAAAACACTTTAAAGTGACACTAAGTTAAATCTTAAAAATTGGTGCTGACACTGTCCTTCCTTCTGGAGGGTGCCTAGCCACCGCTCCAAACTCGCTCCCTTAATGGACTACAATCTAAATATAAATAAGTAAACTAATCATGAGATTGTAGTCCATCACAGGAGTGAGCTTGAAATGGTGACTACTTTACAACACACACATGGGAAAAAAAAAGTAGCCACCCTCCAGAAGGAAGGACAATGTCAACATGAATTCGGAGATGATTTGAGGATCTACAGCCGAGTGATATACAAGTAGGGTACATTTTTGTTAATAGTTAAGGTACTTAAGTGCATTTTTTAAAAAGATTTAACTCCTTTCCAATCATACTTCCATGATGGACAATAATCACGTTTAGTTTACTAATTTGTATTGAAATTATAGTCCATTATGGGAGTGAGATTGGAGTGGTGGCTATTTTACAACACACACAGGGACCATGGAGAACAAAAGTAGCCACCCTCCAGAAGGAAGGACAGTGTCAGCACCAATTCAGAGATGATTTGAGGATCTACAGCCGAATAATACACAAATAAGATAAATTTTTTGTTAATAGGTATGGTACGTGAACGCATTTTTAAGATTTTACTTCTGAGTTTAGTGTTACTTTAAAGTAAAATAAACCCTTCTATAAACATTCCCTTATTTCTAAGGCAATGTCCCATGTAGGCATGTGGAATTCCACCTTAATCCACTCAGCTAGTAACGCTGTACACATCGGTGCATGTCTACCTCTGATGCTGTGGACATCCCACGATGCCTTGTGCTCCATTTGAACTCAAAGCTATACATGCTGGTGCATTGTGCAATGAAACATCAACTTTGAGTCCACAGGTAGCGCACATAATAGGGTGACATTGCTTATTGAGAGCATTGTCAATCCAGGACTGCAAGCTAAGAAACGGGCCTGATCACCACGAAAATAAAAGAAAGATGGAAAGAATATGAATGACACGGCTGGAACAAGTGGATGTAAACTGTATTTCATGAATTGTTATTTTAAGGTTTACATACAATAGAAGTAACCAAACAACTGTGATCACCTTCTTCCGACAGGGTGTAGATGAACATATATTCATCACTCAGCCACTAGTTTACTGTCACTTTGCCCATGGGGTTGGAGAACCACGTTATTTCCCTATATCAGACTGGGAAAAGCTGACAAGAATTCTTACAGATGCTCTGGAACACTACAATGAGATCCATGCTGCAATGAATCTGGTTCTGTTTGAGGAAGCCATTCAGCACATGTGAGTTTTCTGAACACTCTTTGAATATAAAAGTAGGTTCTTCTCTGACACACAATTGGGACTGACTGTACACAGTCCAAGTGACAGACCCAAGCGTCAGTAGCAGCACTCAGAACATGTATTGGTTACCAGGCAAGTTTTAATAATCATGTGCAAAAGATGGAAGTGCTTGTCATTGTCTAGTGAACTTTGACAACGTGTTCCCCTTTCCTCATACAAGATCAAACATGCCTTCCTCTACTCATGTATTTTAGCCAATGATAGAGCTGTTTAGATCTCTTAATATGATGTTATCACTCTTGTGTGAGTTTTCGGAGATATGCTGCTATTGCTAATGTGAAAATTGGCCGATCATTCTCAATAGCTGTTTCATCATGAATGACATGATTATTACATGTGTATGACTGTTAAAGGCAAGGGAACCCAGAGGAGCATGTTTACAAAGAAGCCCTCGATTGCATTGACAATGCTTCGCTGCTTTTTCAGCAGCAGGTAAATCACATTATTTGCCTGCATGTTCACTGGATAATGTAATTTCTGTATCTCCCATCCTTCAATGAGATATTCAGATTTCGGTAACATTGCCCATATTTGTGGTACCTCATATGTTACAGCCCCTGGCCCTAATCTTGTCTCAACTTTTATCATTTGCAGAATAAGGAATCATTGATTTCATCAGTGACTTGTCATTGATTACTATAGAGGAATAGCCAAGCCCGTTCCTACCTGCTCACCACTGCACACATTTCCTGCATATTCACTTAGTGGCAAATGAGGAGCGTAGTCTAAAATTTGCATTTGCTGGCATTCACCCTCTGCGCTATGGCAAATTCACATGATAACTAATGGGAACTTGCAGATAGGCCACTGATCACTAAGATACATGTATTCAGCAGACAGAGTTTGGATTGTCTTGCTAAACAACTTTCCTTTTAAAAGTTAAGGAATAACATGCTGATGTTATATCTGCACTCAACAGACACCCTCAGAACCTGTTATTTTGGAGAAACAATATCTATTCACACCTTCTTAAGAAATTAAACCGCACAGCTTCTAATTCACCTCCTTGTTATCACTCGCCTTAACTATTACACCTGCCTCTTTGTTGGCCTTCCTCCACACAGTCTATCCCCCTTCAGTCTATCATGAATGCTGCTACCAGAATTATTCACCTTACCAACCACTTGATGGCCGCAGGTCTTCTCTGCCAATCCCTCCACTGGCTTTCCCCTTGCCTAACAAATAAAATTCATAATACTAACAATAACATACAAAGTAAACCACATCTCAGCCATTAACTGAATCACCAATCTTGTCTTAAAATATCACCCTAACCGTCCTCTCTGCTCCTCCCAGGACCTCCAGCTCTCTAGCCTTCTTGACAGCTCCACCCATGATTACCTACAGGATTTCTCCTGAGTCTCTCCCATCCTCTGGGACATCCTACTCCAATCTGTCCACCTATCTCCTACTCTGTCCACCTTTAAATGATCTTTGAATACTCATCTCTTCAGGGAAGCATATTCCACCTCTACCTAACAACTGAACTTTTACTTTCTCCATCCATTCATCCTTCACAATGAATGCCTTTTGTATCACTTGCCCCTCCCTTTGGATTGTAAGCTCTCACGAGCAGAGCCCTCTTAACCCTCTTGTCTTGAATTGTATTGTAACAGTACTGTCTTCCTTTATCTTGTAAAGTGCTGTGCAAACTGTTGGCGCTATATAAATCCTGTAATATAATAATAATTATAGTAATAATAATAATAATAAAAATACCACTTACTTTTCTCTTTTCCTAAGCCTAGAAGGTAATTTTCATCTAATGTGTATTGGTACAGGAGATTAGTTTTCTGCACAGTATTAGTCCAGTGCATTAAGATTTACCTACCACAATTATACTCTTTTCTGGGATTTACATGTTTTCCACATTTCTTCGTTTTACAACATATTTCTCTAGGTCATTCGAAACAGAAAATACGAAGTGGAACTCTAGACAAACAGCGTAAAACAGAATAAAAACAAATGCCGAACTTGTCTTAACCAGCCTTTCTCAACGGCACATCATGACACTCTGGGGTGCTTTCTGCCTTTCTCAGGGCTGCCTTGAAATTTCTGCACAGCATCATACCTTTGCATGATGCAGGCAGGCTTTTGATGTGAAGGGCTACTCTAATGTCCATGGGGGACTCTGATATGAGATGGGGGCTCCTGATGTGATGGTGGGGCTTCTGTCTGATGTAAAGAGGGCTCCTTTGTGAAGTAGGGCTTGTGATGTTATGGGGGGGGGATTCTGATGTGAAGGGGACTTGTGATGTTAAAAGAAGGGCAGTGATGTAATGGGAGGGGGGCTCCTAGCGTGCATGGGGGGACTCTGATGTGAAAGTAGAGCTCTTAATGTTAAGAGGGCTCCTGATCTAATGAGGGCTCTGATGTGAAGGTGAGGCTCTGCTACACAATGTTTTTTTACAATTTAGACTGGGGGTGCCTTAAAAATTTACATACATTTAAAGGCTGCCGTCACTAAAAAAAGGTCAAGAAATGCTGTTCTAAACTGTCAAAGGATTTACAAGCCTGTTCAGTTAATCTTGTGATTCACAATCCACAGCCAGGCATTTTTTGACAGATTTTTGCTATTTCAGTTTGCAATTTCCCATATCACTTGCAATGAATCAGCATTAGAATTGGACAGTGATTACTTGGGCAGTGGATCAACAACAAAACATTGCTTATGTGTCCTCCATTGAAGAGATAGGTGACACAAGAACCTGCAATGCTGAAATAAGAAATATTGGGTGTCAAATACCAAGCTGTGACACTGGAAAAGGGAATCACAGATCTGCCTGAACTGAATTACAAATCCTTGGGCAAATCCTTAGGCAGATCGAACATTTCAGAAATTTGTATTTCATCTTTTAGCTGTGTGTACCAGGAGTTCCATTTTAAAGTTTGACTATAAAATGATGAGTTGGCATGATAAGAATATTAAACTGTGTGCAATATAGTACATTTGTGCCGCTTTGTAGCTGAACTAATTGATTATGAGTGTCTTGGTTATAGATAGGTATTTTATGACTCAACAGAAGGGAACAACCATAAGGAAATTAATTTTAGGTGCACTCATATGATTTGGGTTAGAGTTTTAGTTTGCCACAGCTTTGTAAAGCACACTTTTACAGGTATTTATATAGTGCCAAAAATGTATGCAACACTTTAGTGCACATTCACATCAGCCCCTGCCCTCAAGGAGCTTACAATCTAAGGTCCATATCTCACATGCATACATACAGGGCCAACTTAGACAGGAGCCATTTAACCTTCCAGCATGTCTTTGGAGTGTGGTAGGAAACCGGAGTAGCCGAGGAAACCCACACAAGCATCGGGAGAACATGCAAACTCCTTGTAGATAGTGACCTGGCCAGGACTTGAACCATAAAAAAAAGTTATTTTCACCTAAAGCTCGGAGCCGGCTGGCTGTTACAGCGCTCCCTCCAGCCTATCTCCCCTTACGCCTCTTTTGTCCCTTGACGTCCTCATGTCCTCTACACAGTGTATTGGACGTGATGACTCGAGGATCCTTAGACCGCTGGAGCAGAGTTGGAAAAATGCTGGATGGACCAGTCTAACAGTCATCCGTCTCCGAGGACAAAAAATTAGACAAAAATTAGCACTTAACCCTTGCAGTACAGGGGTAGCCCCACTGCAAGGGTTACAAATAATTTTTCCCCAGAGTTTTTCTTTAAGGCTGAACTCATAAAAAATGTAATGTAAATATATTCCTCAATAACCACAAAGGATATACTGTAAATCCACTTTGTGTGCACCAAATGCCTTTGCAAACCTAGATATCTCTTTGTAAAAGTAGCTGTGACATCATCATTGTGCTGTACATATCCTGTTCAGAGAGCAGAACTGTGGAAGGGGCCAGCAGTCCCCACCCACTACCGGTTGCCTACACAAAACTACAGGAGAGGGCGGATACAAGACCTGTTCAAGGAGAGAGAGCAGCAGTGACTGGTCTTTATTTCAGGAAGCTCCTGTACAGCAGTAACGTTTCCCACCGGATTACTGCACAGATCTGGAAGAAATACACAAAGAACATCAAGATTCAAGTAAAAATACACATGACTCTCGTATTTAGACAAAATTTGCTTATCCCGGAATTCATTTTTAAAAAATTGAAAAAGTATGGAAAAGTATGGACAAGTATTACACTTTTATGGTGTTAACTCTAATGATAACACAGCAGAACTTACTGTAGGTTTTTAATTTGAAAACTCTTCTGAGCTTAATACTAAATAATTCAAAGAGCAATGTACAAAGAGCAGAAACCCACAGTAACCAATCAAAATTAATTTTTCTCTGATCTGACTGTAATATACTTATAATTGGTTGCCGTGGGTTACTGCACTTTGCACATCACCATTATTCTTTGCACTGCTTTTTTCAATAAGTTCTAAAGTCCTTAGGTGAAATGATTTCTAGCAATTACCAGAAGCTATAGGCACCTTATTGCCTGAAATATAAAGGATTTTTCCTCCATTCAAGTCACCTTTTATAAAAAAATGTATTATCGTACCTTTCTTGTTCTTTCATGCTTGCAAAGGCTTTTTTTTAAGCATCCATTGTACCTAATGAAAAATGTTTCAATTTTGCTCATTTCCAAGCAGAAATTGTAGGCTTGTGTGGCAAGGAGTAATGTTCAGAATGCTTTATGCTATATCAAACAATCAGCAAGCATTGCTTATTGCCCTGACCATTTTTGAATTAAAAAAAAGGTGAGGGCTGATTGGTTGACAGGTTCTCGAGCCTTGCTCATCATCATGGCTCGTCACAGTGCATTATTAATTGAACATAGTTATAACTTCAAGAGAAAAAGAAAACGGTGTTAAAGCTGAAGTCCAACGTCCCTTTTTTTCCCCACACTTGCACCAAGTCTTACCCTGTGCTGAACCTGAATACTCTCAATTCCTTGTAAGCTTGCATCTACACAATATAACACTTTAAAGTTGTAGCAGCTAACTTGAGCACACCTTTATTTTCTGTCTGAATGGCATCCATCATTGTTCAATTAATTTAGGGACATCCCTAGCTGTTTTACCGCCTGACGTGACCGGGGACGGGAATAAAGGTTTGCTGCATGGCGCAGAGTCGGGGGTATGTGGTGTTGGTGAATAGTGACACCGCTAAGAGCAGGGCGGGGAGATATGAAAGGGCTCTGCATCTCCCCAATCCAGCTCTTAGCAACCGGGGATGCTGTGGCTGGCATTCCGCCAAGCTCCTGGCAACCTGTGACATCAGGCTCAGTGGGTGGCCGGCCAGAGCATACCAGGTTGCTAAGGGCTGGGTGGGGAGATGTGTATGGTCTTTAAAAATCTCCCGGTCCAGCTCATAGCAACCTAGGATGCTCTGGATGGAAAGGGGGCAGCAGACACACTGCTCTGCCGCTCTGCCTTTTCCCCCCTACGTGACCCAAAAAGATGCCACCTCAGGCAACCGCCTCTGGCTGATCATTTCTCCCATTGATCTGCACTATCGTTGGCCCGCCAATGAAAGCTATTAGTTTTCTCTGGCATCAATCATTTTGTTCCCGAGCGTTATGTGAAAGAACACAATTTCCCGGGAAGTAAAAGAAAATCTCTTTAATGGGTTATAGAGAGTAAAAGAAAAAGAAACTAAACCGGTTTTTACCCATTCCCTACTCTTATTAAAAATAAAAGGTTTTTGGCTAAAAATACACTTTGATTTGAAATAAGACAGATGACAATAAAAGATGAATGTGCGCCTTCATAAAACACGGTGATACATACTTTCCAGTAGCAAATAAATATCCAGACATCTTCTTTACTTTATTATTATTTGGGTTGCTTGCTGATATGCAGCCTTGGAATCATCTGTATTGGACTCAAAATACTTTTAGGAAGCGCTCTGTCTCCTAGGGTAATTCTTTAGTCATTAGCTTGATGAAACACGTGTTGTGTTATTGCCAGATTATCCCAACCTCTCCCTTTTGACGTTACAGCTGCCGTATTGGTCGAATTCTGGAGTTCCCATATGGAAATGCTCTTCTGATTGGAGTTGGAGGTAGTGGCAAGCAAAGCTTATGTCGCCTGGCTGCTTTCCTGAGCGCTCTTGAAGTTTTCCAAATAACTCTTCGTAAAGGTTACAGTATCAATGATCTCCGGGTAAGACATACAATGTGCAAGATCCTTTAGGCATGGGATGCTCAATACCCATGGATGCAGTGGTGTATCCATTAAAAATTATTAAGCGTAAATTATGTTCACAAATTTGACTTAATATCAGCCTCTTGCAATCCCCTGAACAGCAACACTTAGACTGGGAGAAGGATGGTTAGCAGTATGAGCCAATCAGGGGAGCTACATGCAAACATACTGACCAGGGCTCTCCCTTTAATGAGGCAGCCTGAAGCTTCAGGTGGCATTCCCCTGGGTCATGTGGGGGCGCGGCAGGCAGAACGGCATGTCTGTTGTATACTAGCTGCTCTGTTGCAAAATGGTTGCAGTGTGCATGCCACCCTCTTTCCGGCCAGAGCGTCCCAGTGTGCTCAGAGCCGGGCGAGGAGATGTGTAAGGTCCATTCACCTCTCCCGGCCCAGCTCTTTGCAACCTGGGATGCTCTGGTCTGCATCCATCACTGGTTGCCAGGAGCTGGGTGAGACACTGGCCACCACCTCCAACCCCACTAACCACCACAAAGAACATGCTGACAAAAGGAGGGATCAGGGGAATTGCATAAGTGCAGTAGAGAAATAACAGTCATCAACCTGTCTCTGCTGTCTGACAGAATTGTGTCAATCTCAGGACTGATTGTACAGAAATATACTGTAATTCCTTTGTCAGGTAAAACCACCCACATATATACGCTTTTACTTCAGATTTAGCTGTTTATCTTCAAAGCTGAACTCCAGTCAGCTTTAAAATATCAGTACCAAAGTTTCGAATAGAGAAATACATACTGTACTTTATTTCTCCAAAGACTTACTGCTCTCCCAAGAGCCAGCACTCTCCTCTGCTCGTGGTGGAATGTGGTCGGGCCCTTGATGTTCTCATCTGCACCATACTTTAACATGCGGTATCTTGTGCATTACCATGCAGTGCTATGGAGCAGCCCATTAAAAAATGAATGCAGCTAAAACTGGGCAAGCACTTAGAATTTTTTTAATGGCATCTGCACACAGTGGACCTAGGAAAGATGAGTGTGTTGCTATATTTTTGTGCCCCTGTTTCATCATTCTGCCTGCTGTAAGTCCTATAAGTGACCTACTATTAGGTTTTTTTTATGACAGTGGTGGTCAACTCTACTGATATAGGGGGCCTCATGTGCGGTCCTTGACATCACCAAAGGACCGCATGTAATATTCAGTGGATGTAATGTTACATAAATGTTTTAGAGTCTGCTGATACATGGAACAGGGGAAAGACTACAGGCATGTTGTTAGAAATGGTCTGAGAGTGTAGGCATGCTGCAGGAGATGCTCAGAGACTGCAAACATTGCATGAAACTGCTAGAAATCGCTGCTATTGCTAGGTAGTAGAGAAACACAGACTACTGTCTGCATAGGTCCTGAGGGCAGCCAAAAAAGTGCCAAAGAGCTGCAGATTGGGCACCAGGGAGGTTCAACCTGTGCCTCCAGCAGTGTTTTAAAGATCCACCCTATGCTTCTTTGTGTCCAAAAAATATTAGTGGTGTAGACTGTGTAAGAGCACTTTGGTAAAAACCTAATTGATTTATGCACTGCACTCTCCTTTACCAATAATACAGTGTACCATTGTTTCTATGTAGTGACTTGTGATCCACTATACATAGGCAAACTGTAGGCTTTGCTCCATATCATACCACTGAAATAGGGTTTCTCGGGGTGAACCCCTTGCCAATGTGAGCAATAATGCATTCCCTGACTCCACCTAAAAATAATGTGCACTGGAAATGCATTATGATGCAGTGGACACCTACAGTATAGACAATTTATCAGTATCTAGAGAGAATGACTTATCGTGGACCTTTACCCATATCTTTAAAATAACAACAAATACACATTTAGAAATGTTTAGTAATGGCAATCTACAAACACATACTTCTAGATAATTCCCAGCTTTGTATGCTTTGCATACCTTATTTCTGTTTTCTTCCCCAGTCTTCTGGCAGTGGACATGTTTACTGAGGGCAGGTTACTAGCTCTCCTATTACTTCCTGGATTTCTGGCACATGTGACTAGACATGTGACTAGGACATGTGACCATGCACATCATCTCAGGGGAGGAAAATGCCTTTCCCTGAGATCTTGTGAGATTACAGATGAGATTTCCCAACAATGCTCTGCTGATGACAAGGCAACCCCAGTGTGCATTGCTTTGCCAAAATGAAGTCATTTTCCCCTTTCAAAGCAGGAAGTGAATGCCCTGCAAGTGTAAGTATTTCACAATCACAGCATTTTACACCTAGCATGTCTTTGTTATTATTAATCATCATAAATAGAGGGAGGCATTGGTAGAATTTGATTCTTGAGTGTAAGGGTCCGCTTTAATGAACACAAACACTGTTTGCGAACGTTTACCTGGGTTGTTCCAAGATGTACTGTACCTGGGCTGCAGAATCTGTGAGCACTTAGGCCCTACCTAATTTTTCTCCGGGAGGAGCTGTTCCCTTACATTCAGTGCACATGTGTACAGTACGTGCCCTTTTCTATGCTTCCAGCTCAGCTTATAGGATCTTACTAAATACATGTAACGACTTTAAATTGTAATTATGTATTGAAATGATCACTTATAGACTCTTTCGGAAGCCTGAGTGACAGGGTGACAACTAAGTATAATTGGGAGACAGAGATAGAGCGTTGTCATCCTATCACAGGAAGTAGTGTCTGAACAAGGCAGGGTCAACAAGTGTTATTTTAAGCGAATCTGTAGATTTATGTTGAAAATTACATAAAACATTAAGGTTTTATGAGATTTGAGCGATTAGGTTTACATATACTTTAATTTTTCATACATAATAATTAGTTTAAAATAAAAATCATGATAATATATAACAAGTCTCTGACGTACTGCACCAGTTTGCATTATAATATGGTCACGTCTTTCACTTGCTTCCATAGCACCAAACGGGTGAGTATTCTTTCCCATCATTATATTCTACACAAACAATGCCATTTCTAGCACTTCAATGCAATTAAAATGGTGGCAACGAGACTTCTCTGGTGTAAATAATGCCTGGAAGTAATTCTTAATTATCCATTTGCAAATATTGTTTTTCAAAACAGTTTGCAGGTCAGCGCAGAATAAGCAGTGCCACAATTACAGAAAACAAATAAACCAATTTCTTAACTCATCCTTAATTGCTGCAGAGGTCTCCACTAGCGGATGGAAGGCAAGCAACAGTTGCCATGGTTTCCAGTCATTTACATGGTAACTTTGGTACCAGATAGAGCTTAATTCATAATTCCTAGTTGTTGATTTGTAAGCTGGGAAACGGTTACAGATGTATTCATACTAATGCTAAATTATTTTTTTAAAGGGTCAGCCCACCCAAAACTTAGCTTTTGGTAGGTGATAGCAAGTTTAATTACCCATCAGGTTTTTTTTGTTTTATTTCTGAGGGATTTTAGTGGCAAGTTCTTGACACTACAGCTGCGTAAATGCTGCTCACTTTGCTACGAGTTCTCACAACTCCTCATCAAATCTGCACAATATAAAATAACTGTAAATACAGAACAGGAAATGAGATGCCGTCTTAATAGCTTTGAGAGGTGGGTGGAAGTAGGGACTAAATCGTGGTGAGACAATGAACTTGCTGGCTGGCAGCTGCCACAAATCAAAATATATATTTCAGGTAGGCTGACACTATGAAAGATACAGGAAAAGGTTGCCCCCTTTTAAAGCAATAAGAGTCCAACTGCTATTTTTTTTACCACACAGCTATTTTTTTTAACCATTGCATTGGGGCTACTCTGCGCTGCATGACTTAAGTGTTCGTTTTTGTCTAGGGACAAAAATAAAGAAAATATATTAACCTGATCCTAGTTCCAGCCTGCTGCTAGATTGGTCCCCACAGCCTTGTTTGCATCGGGCTCCAGCGGTCTAAGGACCTGTGACGCCACCACGTCTCATGCAGGTCCATTAGACATGAGGACATACCACAGCCGAAGTGGAGAGAGAGGTGAGTGGTCACTGCCGCAGGACTGAGGATCAGATGAGTGTATCGTCTTTATTTTTGCCTCTAGATCAAAAATGAGCGTTTAACCCTTGCAGTGCGGGGGTAGCTCCACTGCAAAAGTGAATTTGAAAAAAAAGGAGTTTGATGGCTACTGACTATTAAATGGCTGCATTTGGTGTTTTGTGGAGTAATTAAATACTACAGTGAACAATAGTGTCCAGAAAGCTTCAGCTACCAATTACAGACCATTTTGATTAGAAGTATTTATATAGCGCTGACAATTTACAAAGCACTTTACAAATACATCAGTCTCTGCCCTTAAAGAGTTTATAATCTAAGGTCTCCATTACACAGACATACAAATACTAGGGCAAATTTACTTTCAACCTGTCTTTGGAGTGTGAGAAGATACTAGAGAACATTCACACAGGCACAGGGAGAACATGCAAACTCCATGCAGATAGTGTACTGGCTGGTATTCAAACCAAGGACACCAGAGCTCCAAAGTAGAAGTGCTAACTGCTAAGTCACTGCGTTGCCTCAATTAGTTTTGATCTGGTAGCCTACTGTAAGCTGATTCTGATTGGCACTGGGTAACGCTACCTATTTAATTCTGCACTATTGTAAGGACTGCCACTGTTGCCTTATAAAAATGCTAGCCTGGGGCATCGGCATCCTACATAATTCTCAAATGACAGGTGCACTTTAATGAGCTGTCTACTATTATTCACAAACAGCTTTGAGCCTTCTACAGCCCTTGAGCTGTTTTTAGCTTGGTGCCACCCTGACCGCTGTCATCCAGTGCTTTATCTCCCAATAATCCTAAAGATGTAATTAATTATTGGGATTAAGCACATAGATTTGGATTACAGAAAAAGTGAAAGCAATGTTAATAGCAAATGTTTCAATGTGAATATTAGAATCTAATGCAATCCTAAATGCAATATCTCCATCCCTCTGCTCTCATCAGCAAATGTATATGTAAAAACAAAATGTGCGTACAGTAATGTAAATAGTGCAAAGTACAACAGTCAAGTACAGTACATCTAAAACTGTAGCCAGCTAGCTGAATCACCTGCCACCTTCTTCTATCAGCTGATTAGAGCTTTAGCAAGATCCTTGCTTTTGGGTTTGCTGGTCAATTTTCTCTCTGAAGCAATTATAAAGAAGACAGACAGTTCAACTTCCCAAATGTACATTTATTTTCAAAGAAAACTGGGTAACCCCACTGGTAATAGCTTCATATAGGGTAGAGGAGTTTTCCACCTAACAGCCTGCAGGTAGAAAACCACTTTTACACCGAGTGGGAATAAATCTCATATTTCCTACCTTCTATTTACAGTGTTTAGGAAACTTCCTTTTTTTTTTTTTGCCAACTTTGCTCCTACAAGAGTGGAACCCAGATTGTCAGAGGCAACCTTAGACTCTAAATCAAGGTCAAGAGCTGTCACTGATAATTCCTGGGCCTTCTTAATGTACAGTTCTTAAAAGAGAGTACAGTGCATGAAAAGTACTTCCACAACAGCCCCGGTGAGTATATGACTACTGGATTTGAGGGAAAGTAATTAGAGCTGTCAAAAGTTCATGCCAGACTAGAAATTAAATATAGGCCTGGTATACAACCAGGGCCGCCGTCAGGGGGTGCCGCCGACACTCATGTAAGGCCGGGCCGGGACCCTTACATGAGTACCGGCCACCGCTGACAGGTGAGGAGGAGCCCTGGCCCTAGCAGCGCCGGGCCCCAGCATTACCAATCCAGCTGCACAAAAGTCGTGCGACCGTACATTAGAAACGGTCGCACGTCTTCCATACACTGCACGATTCTCGTACGATTGCGGGATTTCCTGGGATTCTCATACGAGAATCGTGCAGTGTATGGAAGGCGTGCGACCGTTTCTAATGTACGGTGTAACCTTCTAATGTAACCTTTAGTTATAATTATTTCTAATTGAATGATTGGCGCTGTATATCTGGTAAAAACATTCATCTGGAGTTAGTTGTCTATAGTGCAGCAGCTTTCAATTGATATCTTAGATTATCCATTAAGCGTAGATTTAAAATGAAAAACAAGATCACAAGGGACAGCACAGTCTCCAGCAGCTGTCCATCTACTAGCTTGGAGAAGGAAAGAGGGAGGAGTGGGGAGTCGGGAAGTGGCATGCCTTGCTGTGCCTGTGTGTTTGTGGAGACACACACAACTTACTAGTACACAAGGGTTTCTCCATAGGACCCTGCAAGGGAAAGAAACCTCCTTAAAACAGGATATCAGGGCCAATGCTTAGGGGACCAGCTGATTCTGCAGGAAACTAAAACATTTAACCATCAAGGGACATTATCTATTGTGATTTAACCAGCATTTGAAATAGCTTGAAAACCTTTAGACTTTAATATCACTTTAAACTATTGTGAACCAAAAGCAAAATGTTTTGTAAGCTATATTGCATGAAAGCAGGTGCAGGTCACCAAGCCCTTTGCGCTACTATGCAGAGCTCTAATCTGGGCATTGCTCTTTCAAATTGCACTTCCCATTTTTACAATAATTCTGGAGTTCAGTATCACTCTACTCTCTGTCTGAAACCATAAGAGAGGTGATGCATGCAGCAGAGCAGGGGCTGAGCTGTTAAATCACACACAGAGCCAGTTCCCCTACTGTGGAGGGAGATGATACCTGTTAGAGGAGACGTGTGTTTAAGTCTAATGAAGTAAATTCTAGGATGTTGAGGCTGAATGAAGTTGAATGCCGCTTGCAATAATTTTTTTTTTTTTGGTGCATTGTAACTCTTTCTTATTTTGTGTTTTTTAGTGCACTATGTCTTTACTGGCTCAGAAAATCACAGTGAATTGCAACCATTATGTGTACAGTATACACTAAAGGCACAGTGGCACATGATTTACAATCATACTGCTATGAAGTTGAATGCTGCTTGCAATAATCTTTTTGGTGGATTGTAACTCTTTACTGTTTGGTGCTGTATTTTTTTTGTGCACTTTGTCTTTCCTGGCAAAAACACATTACAATAATTTGCAAGCATTATGTGTATACACTATAAATACAGTGACACATTTGATTGACAATCACACTGCCACATGACTGAAAGACTCTAAGGCCCGGTTCACACCTGGCCATTTTACAGTGCGTTCCTACGCACTGTAAAATGCTCAACATGTGAAAACCAATAATTGCCTATGGGCATGGTACCCACCTGGGCGTTTTACAGCGCGTAGGAACGCGCTGAAAAACGCCTTACGCCCAAAGAAGTACAGGAGCTTCTTTGGCGCGTATTTGCCACACGTATCCATTAGGATACATCCGGATAGCCCTCGGAAATGCGCGTTTGTCGCGCGTTCTTTTACCGCAAATCGCGGTAAAAATGCACGGCACTAAATGCACGGCAAACGCGCATATTCCGTACGCCCAGGTGTGAACCCAGCCTTACAAGCAATACCTCTGTGAGGAAGACTGCATATCTGACCTGTTACATGGAACAGATATGATAATCATTCTTGATGTGTGTAGCAGGATCTTACAGGATATGGGGAAGTAGGCCAAAAGAAAGCCAAAAGCCCTACACTGAACCAGTGTGAAACACAGCAGAACCTAGAAATCATGGTATCTACGTGTCTTTCCTCCATCATGAATCCTAAAAAAAAGGGTATTATTCCTTAAAGATAGTGGCTAGAGCTGTGCAATGTATTCCTTAAAATGACACTAACTTCAGGAGGTAAATCTTAAAAATGCATAAAAGTACTTTAACTGTTAACAAAAATGTATCTTACTTGTATATCACTCGGCTCTAGATCCTCAAATCATCTCTGAATTGGTGCTGACACTGTTCTTCCTTCTGGAGGGTTGATACTTTTGTTCCCCATGGTCCCTGTGTGTATTGCAAAGTAGCCACCGCTCTAAGATCACTCCTGTGATGCACTACAATCCCACGAATCGTTTACTAATTTGTAACATTGAGATTGTAGTTCATCACACGAGTGAGCTTGGAGTCGTGGCTACTTTACAACACACACAGGGACCATGAAGAACAAAAGTAGCCCCCTCCAGAAGGAAGGACAGTGTCAGCACCAATTCAGAGATACTTTGAGGATCTACAGTTGAGTAATACACAAATAAGGTTTAGTATTGTTAATAGTTACCGTACTTAAATGTGTTTTTAAGCGTTAACTCCTGAGTTTAGTGTCACTTTATTGCTGCACATTTAGGACCAGTTGTGTAAAGCAAAGGTACAGCCTATTATAGAGCCATTTACACTATAATATTAGGCTGTATCTGTGCTATAAACCAGTGGTTAGTCAAGGGGCAATAAGGAATAATTTTCACGGTGTCACCCACTATCCCAAAATCAGGAATAATCCACTTAGAATAAGACATATGAACACCTTCTGTTTTAAGAAGGTTCTATTGTGTATATTGTATAAAATTGTTCATGTAGCCATGCTCATAGAGCAGCTATAGCATGCTTTTTTTGTAAGATTTTAATAGAATACTGAATCAAATATTTCTACTGTTTTCACTTACATTTTTATCACATTTATTTATGTATCATTTGTGTATAATTTTTATCTTTTTTTATCTACTTAAGATTCCTTCTATGTGAATTCATGTATTTTGCAGAGCGATATAGCTACCCTGTACTTCAAGGTGGGAATAAAGAATATAGGCACGGTGTTCCTGCACACAGACGCTCAGATACCCGATGAACGATTCCTTGTTCTAATCAATGACATGCTGGCATCAGGTACTATCAATTATTCTTCAAATGTCTCACCCGAGCATATAAGATTCACTTATACTAATCGCTTGGCAATGTGAGTGACCTCTTATTGACAACTGCCTCAACTTCAAAACATTGAAATCAGTGTGTTGTAGGCATGGTAACAGGTAATGGTCAGCAAGGGGTTAATGGCATGCTAGTAAGAAATTACAGTTTTCCAAAAAACAATGAGCCAATGGGGCTTCAAGAGCTTTTGTTTTTTGATCCTGTTCCATTAATAATCTCCCATAATGAATCAGTCACTCTGTGATTAGGTGTTCCCTGTAGACTTTGATGAAGCGTTATAAAGCATATATCTGCTACTGTGTAGCAAGTCTGACATGGGGTCATTGGCATAGAAGAGGGCAGCATAGTGACTAAGCGATTAGCACTTCCGCCATGCAGCATGTTGCGTTCCAGGTTTAAATCCTGGCCAAGACACTGCATAGAGTTTGCATGTTCTCCTTGTGCTTGCATGGGTTTTTCTGAGTACTCTGGTTTCCTCCCATACGCCAAACACGTACTGGTAGGTTACTTGGCTCATAGCTAAATCAGCCCTAGTATTTATGTGTCTGAGACAGGGGCTTTAGATTATAAGCTCCTTGATGGAAGAGACTGATGTGTATGTAAAGCATTGCGCAATTTGTAGGTGCTATAAAAAAAAAAAACCTACAATAAATGATGTAGCAATCGATTGGTCATAGAAGTAGCAGTTGATTGATGGTAATTCCACAATAAATCACAGGAGAATTTCTGACCAGTGTAGGGCTGATCTTGGGAGCAGTAGAGCAGGATATGTGTATTCTGCATCTGGCCTGCCTTAATGCATTCAGTGGCAGCCACATTTAAAACAGCCATGACTTGCTGGCTATTCACTGGACATGTTTCTATGTGTAGCAAATGGTCTGATGTCTTACTAGATAATTGTAGTTCATGTTGGTTTGTGCCTAGCACCAAACATTTAGAAGCAGAATCACATTGTTTTTGTTCCATCTTGCTTGTTAATGCTGAGGATGGTGTAGGGTTAGAAGAGCTGTCTGAAATGTATTGCTGTCTATGTCACCACTGGCAAAATCCATCCTCTTTATTAGTGCTGGTGACTATTGTTTCCGGTACAGAAAATTATGTTTGAGTTGTCACTGGAGCAATAGGTGAGGTGAAATCTTCCAATTGGGACACCTGTTCTGGTACAAACTCTCTACATGGGGATAAATCCTCACTTTAGAGAGCTAGAGTAGTAAAAGAACTGAATCACTGCTGTACCTCCCAACTGTCCCTCACTTGAACCCAAATCCCTCTGTCCCTTTTTCCTCAGCAGTTGTCCCTGTCTTTGGTCAGATGTACAAATATCTATGAAGAGCTTCTATTTAACTACCAAAGCTGAACTCCAGACAAAATGTTTTTTGCACATTTGCTATCTACCAGTAAATAGCCTCTTATGATGACCCATGACCAATAATGTGCTGCATTAGTAAAACTCTCAGTATCGAACTTTTAGCACCGATTTTTGCAGTGGCTATGTGGGTTGTTTCCTTCCTTCTTCTGTCATAAAAGTCTTGTATTCATTCTACAGTATATAAGGCGTTCTGTAATTGGACAAGGTGGAGATAGTGACATTCATCTGCCCCTCATTTAATCACAGAATACCTTGTATTCTGTAAATACCAGACGTTTTAGGAATAGAGGAGGTGGAGTGTGAGAAACCCACATTGCCTTCACTGTATGCATTGTATAAGAGTGGGGACTGTAAGTCTTGGTGCCACAAGGTTGGCGCTCATTATTCTGTTAGGGCTGAATAAAACTAACAGCTTTAACTAATGCAGCACATCATTGTACATGGGATAGATTATTAGAGAGGATTTGCTGGTACTTAGCAAATGCGTTAAAAAAAACAACAAAAAAAAAAACTGGCGTTCAGTTACACCCTTTCTTTTAGTTTTGGTAGGCATTGGACATGTCTCAGAGGAAAGTATTAGATAAGCACTGTGGCAATTGTGGGGTTCCAACTTTTATGTTCATGAAGAACAACAGGGCAAGTTGAAATCCATTATTTTGCAGAAAGAGAAGAAGGGATTTGAAGTGGGCAGGTAAGAAACTGGGGTTCATGTTAAGAAAGGCCGGATTTATCAATCTGTTCCTAAAGTGTATGGTACCCTATTTTTTTTTGTTATTTCTGTGTGGGGTTAACAATATGTGCATCCTTGTCTAACTAGTCTTTACCTGTTTCACATACTGCATTTAATATAATGACCTGGTAGAAACTAATCTGACATGCAAAGCACAGAAGCAGATCCATGCTTACGTGGTAAGCTTACGTACCAGAGCTTAACGTTCGGAGGTACAGGATGCACAGCATACCTGTACCTTTCTTAGTCTGTTCAGCCACCACACTCCTTGCCCATTATTAGCCAATCACAGCTTGCAGAAGCATTACTTAACAGGCTGCCTTTTGCAGCTGCAGCCTGTAGCAGTATGGAGAGCGGAAGGCAAAGTCTTCTAGGGTGCAGCATGCACAAACATACTTTCTTTCTCCGTCTGTGTGTGACATTTGGCCTGTTGCTGATTGATGACTAAGCAGAAGTAACTTCAGATGTTATAATGCACATATGAAAGGGTATCTATGGTCAAAAACTAAAATGAAATATGTAATACTATATTGAATTTCCATAATTTCTATCCCCTGTGCATGTTCGGCCGACCCGAAGCCACACGAAGCAAGCCAATGTATGGCTGATTTCAGCCGATATATGGCTGAAATCAGCCGTACAAGCCTGAAGTGAACAGCCGAGCTTACTTCACTTCGGGACGATTGTTGACTCGGCTGCCTACGGCAGCTTAGTGAGTAGACCCCTCAGTGATCACTGATCGCTGAGTGTTTGTACCTTGCTCTCCTCTCTGACATTCTGTCACAGGAGGCTGAGCGAGCGGTGCAGGGAGGAGAGCTCAGCCTCCTGTGACAGCGCGGCCTGTCTCCGCCCACACATCGCTCTGCTGTACTGTGATAGGAGGCTGAGCGTTGTGGCAGGAGACGCTGGCAGCTGACAGCGCTCTCGTCCCACAGCGCTCGGCCGGCTATCACAGTTTCTCTCCTCCCCGCTGGGACACAGAGAAGCGCCCAGCGGGGAGGAAAGAAAGCACGGAATGTGCCGTTGTAAAATTGCACTTTCGGCATTATGCCAAAATAATAATAAAAATATCGGCCGATATATATATTGGTGCACTCCTAATTCTTATATAATATAACGCCATCCGTTTTTTTAGTGGACTGAAGTAAGTTTAAGCTTACGTTATCTATTCTTTATTTCTCTAAAATTGAATTTATTGCACGCCATATTAGATATTAATAATCATGTATAAGATTAAAGCCCTGCTCCTAGATAATGGAGACAGCAGATGAGGGAAGAAGGACGGGGGGAAAAAAAACCCTGATAAATATGATCATGATCAAAACAGTAGAGAAATAACACATTTTAAATGAGCCCGGGGCATTGGGGTTTGAATAGGCTTCATCAGCAAATGTGAAAGGTCACTTGTACAGATTTGTAATAGGCGCTGTCAAGTCACCCCGATGACACAAGACAAACAAGCTGCTTAATATAATGAGTTGCAATCAGCAATAATTCGGTTTATTATGAATTTATTTTTTTACATTTTTTTATCTCTACTTGTTCCAGGAGGAGTCTGCGATCACTTTCCCTATTATGTTTTTATTTAAATATACAATTAAAGGCACAGCAGCACAAAATTAATCACATGAAAGACACCTGCTAACCTCTTTAAATGAGATGTGATTTTATGCAGTGTTTTAATGTTCAACGCCCTAGACAGCTATATATTTATTGGGCATATTCCTCACATATAGTAAATAGCTGCAAAGAGAATATTTAAAGGAGTCCCTTGATTGCGCTTTCTCTTCCTAAGAAGAAGTTGTAGAGAAAGAAACAATTCAAAACGAGTTACTGGCACTAATTTTATGCCACACTTATAGTACATTGACCACGTAAGGAATATGTTGGCTACCATTGTTTGCCTCCATCTGGAAATGCTAGTTGTCTGGCTGTCTGTAGCTTCAATACCAAGATCCAGAGCATGCAGCAAATTAAAGTACATCTAAACCCAAAAACTGAAAGCTGCCATTGGAGGGGGGCAAACATCTGTAGAAAGTTAATGCAAAAAGTCTACTAGACCAGCATAGCAAAGATATAGAATGCATTGTCAAAAAGTGTATATTTCAGATCATAGGTATTATAAAAAACATTTTTACCTCTTATTCTGAACATGCCTCTCCTATACGTCCTGAATTATTGACTCATAAAGATATGCAGGTAAGGATTTCTGACATTTCTCTGACACTCCTGACCTGCATGTTTGCTCTGGGTTCAGTTATTAAGAATATATTGAAGCTAGAGGGTCAGCATAACAGCGAGGCAACTTAAGTTGGCCATACACTTGGTGTGTTTTCCCGATCAGCCTGCTCGATTCTCCCCTGCTGGGCTATTGTATTCTGACACCCGGTGCTCGCAGATGTCAGGATACCCAAACAGTGACCTAGCTGATTACCTGTAGTCACTGTTTGGCCATAAATTTTTGGCCCGGCTTCTTTTCCCAAAGTTGATTGCAAAAACGCTGGGCATACACTGTTAGAATTTTGGCTGATTCCTGTGAATTGGCCAAAACTCTAACTGTGGGTGGCCCTACCGACACCCCCTGGCTCAACAAACTTCGAGTGAAACATTGAAGGAGCTGGGTTGAAAATGGTTGGCTGAATAGTGACATGCAATCACTGTTTGGGAATTGCTCAATTCCCCCATCTATGCTAAACAGCCTGGATGGAGGAACATCCCTTGCCAGCTGTCAGAATACACTAGCGGCAAAGGCATGTTCCTCCATCCACGCTATTTATCATAGATGGAGGAATTTTGCAATTTTTTTTCTGAGCTGAATCAGAATTAACAATACATATACTGTATGGCCAGCATAAGGAGCAGGTCAGCAGTGGCTTATTTCATACTTTCCCCATTACAGGGTGACTTTAGAAGGCATAGAATACAGTAGTTTATAATTCCCTTTGGTAACTATGCCATGGTGGGACTCCACTGTGCTGTAGTCATGCTCCACAATGTACATTTACAATCTTTGCCTGGTGTCTGTGTGCCCACTCTGTGCATATTTGTTTGTGTGTAGGAGAAATCCCGGATCTTTTTAGTGAAGAAGAGATGGACAACATTGTGTCTTCAGTCAGGATGGAGCTGCGCGCTCTCGGCCTCCCAGACTCGCGAGACAACTGCTGGCAGTTCTTTATTGACAGGATCCGTCGGCAGCTGAAGGTGGGTATAAAATAATGACAATGGGACTGAGAACGCAGGAGAATGCAGAGTCTTTCGGGGGGTGGGGGGGGATACAATGATAAATGCCCTCGCCTCCATCCACAATATATCTTGGTGATATATTGTCCCATTTTTATGATCCTTTAAACATTATCACTATGTTATCACAGGTTCGGACGAAGTAAAGGATTTCTGACTGTGTATGCTATTTTTGTTGTCTTAGAAAAAGACAAAGCATGCTTCTGAATTTATGGATGTTAATTCAGTTTGGCTGCTGCTGTCGAATGATAAGAAGATGCATATTGTCCTTTGTTAAGTTACAATGATTCCCATGAAAATATCTAACCTCCCTTCTGTCCGCATATAGACACCTATTTATTAAATCTGTGTGCACTTTTATCACAAGCAAGGAAACCATGCTTCCACCGAGGTGCTAAAAAAATCTGTTAACCCAAAACCTATTCTCCGTATTTCTGGTATTTCTCACTGTACACAGTAGAGTTTTCTTTCAGATGGACAGTCCGATCAGGTCTGTCTGCTAGTTTATCAAGTGGATCTGATCAGAGCCGAATGTATGGGCAGCCGGATCCAAATGGACATGTGCCCGATTACATCCAAATATCGCCATTTCCGTCCAGGTCCAGAAAACCAAGTGCAACAGAGTTCCATTTTGGGGGACCTGATCTGGGGTAGTTTGAGGTAAACAGACACATGTCTGCTAATATCTGACTCCCCATGGACCTAAGAGCCCATTCACATCAGGGCGGTTGCGGATCAGCGCGGTTACCGCGCTAATCTCAAAAGGGAGGTTTTGGGAGTTTTTAATTGCGTTTCAGCACTTCCTGTAGCAGGCTGACGGCGCTGAGCTGCTGCTTCACGATTAGCAGCAGCATTGTCAACCTGCTGTGTACACTTCTTTAGTTGGCCATAGACTATCTATCACATGTATTGTATAGCCAACCCAATGGGCAACTGAAGGTGTGCACAAGGTAGGCTTACAACGATGCTCCTAATCGCAAAGTAGCGGCTTAGTTTCGTCAGTCTGCAACAGGAAGTTACTAACAGGATCTCCGGGTAAGAAACTTTGCAACAGATTCACAAAATTGTTATTTGCTTAAAAGTGTATCTCTAGCTGTATTGTTTTCTCAGTTTTTGATAGAGTAGGGAAAGATTAGAGCCCCTGCATGGTTTAATGCTATCCAGGCTCTGTTATGGAAATTTACCGTCACTTCCTGTCCTGTTGATCATGTTTTATCAGACAGGAAGTGAAGGAAACTCTAACAGCAACACAGACAGAAATAAAATGCTTTCCTTTAGTCCAGTAGGAAAAGGCTAGAACACCTGTCAGATTTTCATTTCTGTCTATGTCCCTGTTGCAGAAGCCGTTGTCAAAATGACAGGAAGTCAGGGTAAATCTGTCTAATTGAGCCTGGTCAGCAGTAAAAAAAAGAAGTTCCAATCCTTCCCCAAAACTATTCAAAACTAGCTTGAACTAAATTTTAAGAAAACTGTATACAGAGAGATATAATGCCAAACCAAAAAAAAAACAAATTTAGGGTTTTAGGGAGATGTTTGCGCAAACGTATTACTTAGCTTTACATATGCTTTAAGTAAATTTTTTTGCTTTAGCAAATTGCCGTTTGCTGTATAGCATTAGTAACCTATAGATGATGATTTTGCTTGTTGACTAGTATCACTCTGTACACCAGCCAATAAAATATCATTATTTTTGTTGAAATTATCCCATCCTCACTGATATCTAAGAAAATCTTAGAAAGATTAAAGCTTCCCTTTAGCAAAGCGTTTCAATAAAGCTCAGTTGTTTGAATCCCAAAGGCAAACATGGCCTCAGTTTAAACACACTACCCCATCCCTCCATGCCAACACTGACACAAATAATAGTATAAAGGTAAATAACTAAATGTGCCGAGCTACAACAATGATCAGATATAAAGAGTATTATATAGGTGAGCACCACTATATCTGGTGTGGTGCACATGGTGCATTTGGTGAAGGAACAATAAATATTCATCACTATTGCTATATTTGGACATTTTTGCAGATTTATGAAGATTTAAAGACTTTACACCTGATTGATTTTTTTCACTGACATTTGTTTGAGTCACTGTTTTTTTATACTCTTTATAGCTGATCATTGTTGTAGCTCGGCACATTTAGTTATTCATTTTTCACATATACACACTCACAGTGGGTGTACATTCCAGTGCCTTGTAGCTGTTAGCTTGCTTATTGGCGCAGTTCATTTTCTATATTTATTAATAGTATAAATGTATTTTGGGATTTGTGGTTCTTCTAGATAGACATAGATCACCTCTAGTTTAAAGTGTATTGTAGTTTATTACATATATATAGAGCCCAGTTAGGTTTCTTTCACAGACTCTATTTTTGTTAAAGGAACTGGAATCTGGAATCAAGGCACCTTATTTTGCAGCTCGGGCACCTATTAGCACTTTTTTTCCCATTGATCAAGTTGTGGATTGAAGTTTGAACCATTCCCACTGTGCAGAGTTCACATGGAGCCTTAAAAGTGTGTGAAATCTGGGGGAGGGGACGCAAGCATAATAGCCTCCCAAAGTCTTGCCTTCTGCGTTTTTTATCTTGTTGCTGCTTTCAACTGCAGCTCACAGAGTCCACTGATCACATAAGGAAAATTGAATTATTGAGGTCCTTTTAGCTTTTCAGAAGTACATACATTCTCTGCTGGGCAGTCTACATGCAATACATTACAGCAGTCACATTGCAATTGTGTTTATGGGTTTAGCACTTAACAAGCATGACCTGAATATAAAGCAGACATATTTGTTAGGAAAGATTTTGATTTCTTCGATGTCGTTTCTACCCAGTCAGTGTCAGGTTTATATTATAATGGAATACCTAATTCAGTGTGTATGCGACCATTTTGAATATTTATCTACATTGTCCAGGCACAGAACAGAGTTGAAGACTCATTATTTGACATTTTTTTGTTTATAGAGTTGAAGTTTTAATTAACCAGAGGTAAGGCTACTTCACAATATCTTGCTTCACATGTTGTACAGTATATGAAGTAGACATGTAAATTATGTTTAGTTACAAATGGATATTTGTACGAATTTCTTTAAATTCGGACACGCAGTTGCATCTTAATTCTCGAATTCTACCGCCTCCGAATGCGAACAAATCTGAATGCTCGTTTAATAAAATGTCAGATTCATCCGATCAAATGTTTTTTTTGGGGGCTGTTGGGGTTTGCATTACAGGCACAATCATGTGACTTCGTTCTGAAACAAAAATTCGGATGGATCCGAAATCCTAATAATGAAAAAAATAAAAATTCTAATTGATCCGAAACGAAACAAATTTAGAGAGGTTACATGTTTACTATAAACCATTAAGCCTCTGTGTGTGTAAACATATATTTAATTATTCATTGCAAGAGAGATGTTGTAAAGTCATATGGTATATCCATATGTACCTTTATGAAAAGTGTCTGCTCTCGCTGGTGAAATGAGGGAAAAGAAGTGGAGAAGAGTGACTAAACTATTATTTGCATGTTACCCTACTTAACTCACACTGGCAGTGTCATATTTTATTTTTCTGGGTGCAAACATGTTTTTTAAGGTAGGCCTGAGGCTACAGGTAATTTGCATAGCACAAGGATGGTGACAGCCAATGATTGGATAAAGGATTATACAGATAGTGAATGGTAATAACATGATTTATATATTTACAACCAATTGGCGCTTTAGTCCTTGTCCTGATACAGTCCAAACCTTTGCCACGCTTAAATGGCATCTTTAATTATGGCATTGGTGGTAGATTGTGGGCTACATATGCCACTTGACAACACTGGGCCAGATACCTGTCTGATGTATTTGCTAAGACTGACATTTGACCCTCTTCACCATCCCTTCTCCATGCCACTCTAAGTCTCTGTAAATTGCCTCTATTACCCTTTGAGAGATGCAGCATCCAATCAAGTAAACATTTACTGCCATATGGCCAAAGTGTAAAACTTCAATAATGGATACTTTTGACCCACAGTCATCCTACTCCCTCTAGTGACTACCCTAGTATAGCGTCAGAGATAGTCAGGTAAAAACAGGTATTTTTACTGTTGACGGAAAGGTTCAATTCTCTGGTTTTATTCAATCCTTCTATTAAATGTGTATCCCTGGCATGCATTATATGTACGACCAGTGATATGCCACTTACACTTTAGGAAACACTAAAATAGAATAAATGTAAATGATAACATATAGCATTTTATTATTTCTACTATGGGATGGATTTTGCATGTACTGTGGATCATATCCGAACATTTTAGCTTTTTGATTAAAAAGTGAAATTTAAAAAAATAATCCTTTTTTTCATGATTTCATTTATTGCAGGTAGTCCTGTGTTTCTCACCAGTGGGATTTACTTTGAGAACCAGAGCAAGAAAGTTCCCAGCCCTGGTGAACTGTACAGCAATAGACTGGTTCCACTCCTGGCCTCCTGTTGCTCTGCAATCAGTCAGTAGTAGCTTCATCCACAAGTTGGAAGGAGTTGATGTAAGTATGATGTTGCTGTGTGAAATCTGAAAATTTAGAGAGTAAGCATGGCCAGGGGTTTGTAGTAATGTTACCCCATTTCCCATTTCCTTAGTCACTGGGCCTGGACTGTAGGGCAAATCTCTTTGACAGTTTTTGTTGGCTGACGTCAACTCACATATGATCTGTTTTCATTCTCTACCACCACTCTTTTCTCTCTCAGAATACTGTTGGTAGCACTTCATAGAGATTGTTTTCAGAACCTCTAAACGTGCATTGGACACTGGAGCTGTGGTTTAAAGCAAACTTGTTTTTTATTATTATTATTATTCATAAACAGTTTGTTCAGCGCTTTACAATGTAAGGAAGACATTACAATTACAATACAATTCAAGACAAGAAGGTAAGGAGGACCCTGCCTGCATGGGCTTACAATCTAAAAGGGAGGGGCCAGTGATGCATGAGGAGGTAGCTGTGTGGGGATTAATTGTTTGAGAATGTGATTTATTGGAGACTTGTTTTTATAGGATAAAAATTATAGAGTATAGAAAAAAAATCAAGGCAACTGGACTTGCTTTATTTTACTTGAAGGTGTTTTGCTGGTCATCCGACTAGCTTTGTCAATTCTGAATTGAGAGAGCTAGTCTGATGTCCAGAGAAACGTCTTCAAGAAAAATGCAGTAAGTCCAGGTGCCTTGATTTATTTTTTACAGATACATGGGCGTTGTAGTGTGAATGTGATGCACTAAGCTACTGGTTCTCTTGTAATTTAATACCCTTAGCATTCTTTTCAAAAGAATGAATGTCTTCAGTTCATGACATGAAAGGAAAACCTTCAATCAGGTTTTTGCACAGTTTTGCTTTAATTGCCAGTTTTGGTGGAATCTTGAATTATTTTGTTTTACTTTTACTGGTTTCTCATTGGTTGGTATTGGTTACTGCATTTTACATATTATCGCTGATCTATGCATTAGCTTACTAGTTAGCAGTAAAACCAATTAAAAATAAAAACTTGCAAATTGCCAATATATAATTATGTTGTATGGATAGTTCATTGTAACAACTATCATTACAACAATAAAGCTGAATAAAGTTGATCATTTGCAATTGTTCTTTTAATAATACACCATGGCATGGCATGTGCTATAAACACGTCTTTCTGTGACACTGAAATGTGTCATCTTCTTTTTACACCACAAATCTTATATTCCTCAAGGATGTTGTTATAGTTGCGTATGCCTTATAAATGATTTACAATTCAGTTGTGGAATTCAGCCAGGGAATGTAAAAAGAGTGTTTATCCTAAATCCAAACTGTTCAACAAAATTTCAAACCGAAGAGCATCTGCTTTAATGAATTCAGAATTGGCCATAGCATTAAACATGCCACTACTGGTAATCTTTTTAAAAATATATATATATATTTGTAAGACATTAATATTTTTTTTTTTCATTGACTCCCAAATTGAAGACTTTTTTTTACAAATTATATTTGAATAATGGCATCAATTATGTCCTACTTTAGGAATAACTTCTACCGCAGCTGAATGTGTTGTTTGTGTTCAGTTCATTCAGGCTTTCATATGGTTATTTAGGAATCGAATTTGGAACAGAAGCCTCCTGGGTATTTTTTCCAAGTTGCTGGCTGCCTGGGGTTTAACATACACCATGCTGGTATAATATATACCTTGATTCCTGTTTTTTTGTGAACCCCCTCCTGTAAAATATATTTACAATAATTGCAAACGTTTCTTGCACATAAAGTGCACTTATTTATTGACGGATGTTCTTGCTTTCCTTTTGCCCGGCATTTCTAGAGTTTTGTTTAACAACTTTTGCATATTTCAGTTTGTACCTGCTTTATCGTCAGAGAACCTTTGTGAACTAGGAGCAAAACAGGCTGGTAGTTAAAAACTGCTGCAGACAGCAATGATGTAAAGTAATCTACACAAACTAGTTTAAGCATCTTTAGTTACTGTAGGGCCATTGTATTTTAAAAAAGGGACTGTCCTGAGCCTATATAATAGCCACTGATGGGGGAAAAAACACTTGATGTAGGAAAAGTGCATAACTCTGGGGAAATAAAAACATACTTTATTCACATACAAAACAAATGAGGTGTTACATTCACATGTGACCATACAAGGGCTGGGCTTCAGTCACGGAGGAATAGGGCTGTGTACAGGAGATGCCCTCACTATCTGACAGATTTGGAGCGCTTTTGCAAGGAAGAGTGGGCAAATATTCCCAAGGCCAGATGTGCCATGCTGATAGACTCCTACACCAAAAGACTGAATGCTGTTATAAACTCAAAATGTGCTTCAGCAAAGTAGTAGTTTAAGGGTGTGCATATTTATGCAACCACATTATTGTAGGTTTTTCCCTCTTTAAAGATTTCAGTTTGTTGGGAGACATTACAGTTACAATAAAATCCAATACAAGAGGATTAGGAGGGTCCTGATCGTGAGTGCTTACAATCTGAAAGGAGGCGCAAGGTTCATCATGCCAGATTTGTGCACTTTTTTGTCTTGAGGTTCTTGTATGTTCTTGCATCCTTGTGCTGTCAAAGAAGCTGCAAATCGATCTGGCAAATAAGGAGGATTATATAGACATATGGACCTTTAGAACTGGACTGCTTATAAATGAATATCATAGTGGGGGATTTGATAGATTTTTCTGCTTATTTCTTGCAGCTCATGCAAGCTAACTTTCTTCAGAAATAAACATATGAAACACACATAAAAATGTAAGGCTAAATTCCAAGCATAGCTCATCTCCACCCCTTGCCCCCTGCCTTTTCCCTAATCAATTGCTGGAACCTAATCTAAAAGTCCAAACTACGGTACTTACCTAAATCTGTGGTCATGTAAAATGCCAAATCCTGAGCTTTCTGTTTTATTCCCAGCAAGCATGAGGGCTGGAATCCCCCAAAAGCATTAGAGCCCCTTACTTACCCCCTGTGTTAATACAAGCTATTTAGAACTAGGCAGAAACAACAGGAAAGCGACCAAAAAAGCATCCTTCTAAGAATATCAGCTCATAGTAACATGGCAACCGAAGTGTGAGAATTTTCCAGAATCCCGTGTTCCCGGTATTATAATTAACCTCTGTATAATTTGTTAGGCCATGTCACTCATAAGGAAATTATAAATAAATCTGTTTTTAAGTATGTTTTTATGTTAAAACAAAATCTCATGTGAGAACTGATTTAGGCTTTCACATTCATCTCTATTGAGTGCGTAGACTGAAGCAAGAAAACTGAACAACATTTTTGTACTTCCATTATAAACATACAACGGCTAAAAGGAAAAAGATATATGATGTCAATGGAGCATATCTTTGATTATTCACTCATCTCTACTAGTGCATATAGAAAAATAGGCATATAAAAGCTAGATATAAAAATACATTTATAAGCAGGTAATACAAAAATACCTCAGAAAATGTCCTCGATATATGAAATGCATAGACACAAACTATAAATGTACCAGCCCACTGTAGCAGCAAAGCAAAGCAACGCTGTAAACACATTACCTGGTTATTTGCAAAATGAATAATTAAATAATGAAACTGACTGTAACATGTGACTAAATCATTGTAGCTGAAATGCAACAGAGTTTTAATGAATGCGTTTTCCACCAGAGCTTCTCCTCTGACATCTGGGTGTGATGCCTATAGTTTCTTTCAGGGCCTACAGTCCATTGCATGTAAAAGTACAGTTTCCACAGCATAAGGTTTGTTGCATTAAGGCAGCTCATTCATTTTAAATGGGTTGCCAACGCACACTACAGTGCACAGAAAACCAGATGTGCGCCCCTTTTTTTTAACACTGCACACCACAACAGATGGTTCAAGACCGAGCGTCATGGTGCATTATAATTCTAACATGTTGTTGTGCATTGAAGAGGTGCACTGGGATGCCATTCCGATTAATGGCACTGCAATGTACTACACAGGGGTCTATTCACCAAGCTGCCATTCAGATTAATGGCACTGCAATGTACTACAACAGTGTTTAATTTGTTGTGGTAGCATGCGTATTTAGCATGGGTTCTTAGTGTGAAATTATACCTTTGGAAATCCCTTCACTTCTGCACATTGCATAGATTGCTTCTAACAGTCTCTCTGCATGGACAAAGTGTAACAACAATACATTATTGGACTTGAAATGTAAACTATCAGAAAGGTGAAGACAGCCTAACAACCAGATATTAGAAATGATAAGACAATCTTTTCAAATTACCAGACTCACATGGGATGGCCATCCATATTTGGCCTGTTAGATGTTTCTGTTATTATCTCCCCCCTCTCTAGATTCAATCATCTTTTCAGTGATTCTGAGCATTTCTAAGAAACAAAGTCAATTGTTGTTACAGAGTTTTTTTGAACTTGAAAACATTTTGAAAAATGCCTGTGATCACTTAGCCCCCATTCAAGCCTGAGCATTTTGCTGCGGGTTTCCCTCAGCACGACACCACTCAACATGAAGAATTTAATTTGTAATGGTGCTCATTTATACCTGAGTGTTTTGTCATCTGTCACTTATAGCTTGAAGCTTGAAATAAGAACGAGCTCCTGTTTGGATAGAATCTTGTTTTTGGTCCCGTAGACATTAATGGGAGAACCTAAAAAATTACTGAAAAAAACATTCAAAGAGGGGGTTTTATCAAAACTGGAGCAGAGAAAATCTGGAGTAGCTGTGCATGGCAACTAATCATCTTCTCTCTTTCATTTCCAAATCCTAACTGAACAAACTAAAGAGAGAAGCTGATCCAGATTCTGTCCAGTTTTGATAGATTCCACCCATAATGCTTTTTTTGTATGATTTTGTGTCCTCCTTCTTGTATCTAGCCTTCCTTGGCTTAAACATAAACACCTGAAAACATGCAAAAAAATGCTCATAAACACACAAAAAAACGTTAAAATGGCCTGAAATGAACAGGAGAAGGGAACCATCTAGTACAACATAGCTAAACAGGAAAGTGAGCTGAATTGGAGAATGTTTCCAAATCGGCTATTTTGTCCTGGATTGTTCACTTCTCCTGCCTTCTCCAAACTCTTCACCCTTTTGTGCATAGCTCTACGCTGGTTTACTAGCATACATGCGCACAGACAGTCATTTCTATGGGCGGCTGTACACATCAGCTGCGTAGTCCCAGGCACAGAGAAAACCTCCAATTTCTGTTGTATGTCCCTAAATGTATCTGTGTTCATGATCCCATAACTAGCGTTTCACCGCGTGTATGCCACAACAGGGATAATCCGAGTCCATTGTTAAGGGGCCCTGGTGCTGCTAAGGAGTATGAACAGTACTCTCACCACCTGCCATCTTTGGTGAGAGATCTGCCTGGCAAACTTGTATTATTTAAGCAATTATAGGCTCTGCAAATGCTTCTTCTCCATACCATGGCCCTGAAAGAAAATAACTTTTTGTTTCGTCTATTAAACACTAGGCTTTTAGTGTGTACCAGAGAAACCAAGTTGAGCAGAACCCATTAATGTCACAGTGATCAGTTACCAATGGAAATAAATAATTCATGACAAAGGGAATTAGTCTAATTAGTCGGCTGTTTGAGTCCTTTGATAAAGCCCGGCTCTAATTCCGTGAAGGGCAGGAAGTGTTGTCATCATTCAGCCCTGAGAAGATTAGTATCTATTATGAATGAGGTTAGGCACCCCAGTGAAGCCATGTGTGTCTTGGAGACAAACTTAATATGTTCCAGAGTAGGACACCGTTTGTCTCTCCAACAGATCACGATTCCTACAGGGCTATTGTATGCAATAACAAACAGGGATCATCGCCTCGATCATTCTCTCTCTGTCCATCATCCTGACAGCTGTGAAAATACATTTGCCATGCAAAGCAGGGGAGCAGCCTTGAATGCCTACAAACAAGTGTAGCCAATGCATGAGGAATCCGTCATTTCTAAACGGCATCAGTGAATGCTGTCAAAGAAAATATTTGGAGAAAAAAATAAAGGTTTTTTTTTTTTTTCCAAAGACAGGGTATTTCAAATGACATTCTGCCAAACATAAATCATTTATTATTGGGAAACTTAATCGTTTCAACACAGGAAATCAAAACCATAGATGCTTTCCATGTAGTCGAACTTTTTCAAGTGTATCTAAACCCAAAAGCAAAAATTTAATATATTGCAGTTTACCAGTTCTTAAATTTGGTGACTGCATTATTTTTTTTTTTAGGTTTTTTTAATGTTATTTTTACCTGGTAATCCAGCCAGTAAGTCTGATATTTTCATCTTCCTTTAAGAGACCAAGCTGTCCGGCAAAAATAACAGTTAGAGGATTGAGAGAATTCATTTAACACTGAGAGGGGTGCTTACGGTCAGCTTTTATCCATTTACGTAAAACCTTTATCCCAAAAGGGAGAAAAAAAACTCATGCTGTAACTACTAGAAGAGTGTTAGCTGGATATCAGATTTAATAAGTTAGTTAAGTCCATCTAAATCTGCTAGTTAATCTAATCTAACACAACCCTATTTACAGGGTGACAATGCTGCTGTCGATAGGTGGCTCTGTTGCTCCTCTATAGAATGAAGCCACCCTAAGACAGGAAGGGGTGTACTTATAAACAATTCACAGAGCCATTTGCCCTTCTCATCTCTGTGAATGTTCATTCTGTGAAAATAAAGGCAGAAATTAGCTTTCTTAGTATATTTTTGTATTCAGGTTGAATGTGACATTTGCAAAATACTGAATTATGGCCACTAGATAGAGCTGGGGAGCATAGGAAATGTGAATTTGTTTCTTATGCTCCTCAGCTCCACCTAGTGGTCATAGTGCAGTATTTTCTGAATGTTACATACAGCCTTAAAAGAAAATAAACGAAGAAAGTTTTTGCCTACTTTTGCACAAGACAAACAAAGATAAAAGACTAAGAAAACATGAATGCAGCCACCACATGTGAGGATTGATAAGCTGCATTATAAGTAAAAGCAGCATTCAGAAACAGCTGTACAGTAAACAACATTAAAATTTTCCTGTAAATAAATAAGAAAATTACAATATTGTATCAGCCACTGTTTTCTCATTATGATGGGAGTTCATAGCACAACCGGCAGCAGTTGTTGCTGCTTATAATATTTGCTCCTACTGAAGTAACAATGAGATTCCTAATATTTTACAATACATTATACATTAATTTTTAATCATTATAGATCTGCAGCTTTAATTAAATAATACATGATGTGACTGGCACTTCCTGACATGGGGTGACAATGGTTTGTGCCAATTCCTCTCCTGTGTTGTCACCCACTTTACACACACTCCTAATATAGAGAGCAAGCCGCATGTTGCACTATTGTCACCATCAGAGACCCCGTCCTGAGCAAGGATGAACAGCCACTAGTAGAGAAAGTGCATGAAGATAGGAAGTGGCTTAAGGAATCTGGAGGGGATCAGCAGCACCGAAATGACGTGTGAAGTCCAGCTGCAATTTTTCTGATGTATGTAAATATAGCTGCCAACAAGACCAGATGTGTGGAGAAAACAGAAAAGTGAAGAAGCATTAAGATATGCCAAAAGATGATTAATTAAAACTGACAAAATGAGGGATCCACAGAAAAAAAATGTTAAAGGCGGAAAATGTGAGCTTAATCCTTTAATGCTGACTTCATTTGCTCCATTACAATGTAAACTTCCCTGAGGGCTGGAAATAAATGTTAGAATTCAGGTGGTCCTCTTTTCATTTTTCTTGTTAATTTCCATTATGAAATACATACAGTCAGGAAGTATATCATTATTATATTGTTAGCCGCTAATGCAGGAACGGAGAGTGTGTAACCTTTCCATTATTCTTCCAGCCTCAAGTAAAAAATTCCATTAGCCAGTTCATAACATTTGCACATACAAGTGTAAATGAAGTCAGCGTCAAGTATCAGCAGAATGAAAAGCATTACAACTACACCACTCCAAAGAGCTTCCTGGAACTTATTAAATTGTACTGGAATCTTCTGGGAAAGAAAAGAGGAGAGCTGCTGCAGAAGATTGAGAGACTGGAGAATGGACTACAGAAATTGCAAACAACGGCTTTTCAGGTAACGCTAGCAAGGCTGATGTGATCATGTAATGACATTTTTCCTTTCTACCCCCGCATGTATAAGATCCAACAGATGACTGTTATATATATCTATATATCTATATATATCTGTGTAAATATATATAGATATATATCTCTATATCTATATATCTCTATATCTATATATATATAACTTATTTATTTATTAAAGGCCTATTCACACTGTTGCATTGTGCATTGCGGTACATATTGGTTACACGCATTGGTGCAATGTGGTGCTGTTTATTCTGAATGGCACTCGTAGCACTCCAATGCACCTCGTCAACAGATGCGCATTGCAGCAGGGCAGTGCCAGGCCCAAAATGCTTGAATGTGTGGTGCAGTGAGATACCGAAAAAGCTGTGTGTCTGACTCTTGGTCTGTTGTGATGTGTTGGGCAACCCATTCAAACGAAAAGGCTGCCCTAACACTATAGATATAAATGCAG